TACTTAGAGGTAATGACATAGGACAGAAAATTCCCACTGATGTTGAAACTCGCTGGAATTCAACATATTTGATGTTGGTGAAGGTCCTTAAAGTAAATTATCTATCTTTTTCTTTTTTTAATAGGATTATATATTTAGAATTTTGAGACAATAAGAACTTTGTGTTATTCAGAGTATGAAACCCTAGGCACCATTGCCCTCACAATTATTGATAAAAATAAAATAGAGGAAGTAATTCCTTTATTAAAACCATTTTATGAAACCACCTTGGATTTATCTGGATCCTCCTATCCTACCATTGGTTTAATATCTTTTATCTAATATTTTTAAATGGTTTTTCTCTTATTTAGGCATATGTCTTATGCTAATGGAAAATATACAAATACATATTGCAAATATTTTTAATTTTAATTCCTCGCCGTCATTTATTGGTGCAACTTTTGCAACGAAAGTCACTCAGAAAGCTAATCACTACATTCACAAATTTTTAAACATTGAGTCGTATATTGGTAGTCTATTAGACCCCAGAATCAAAAAAGTTATTCATAATTCTTTATAATATTACAAAATTTCTTTTTATTTAGGTTCACATGTATAATCTATTAAATACTCCTGAAAATTTTATCCAATTTAAGGAAGTATATGAAAAATATGCAAGCACTTTATCAAGTGGCATAAGGACAAACAAAGTATATAAAAATATTTATTTATTTATTGATAATTATTATTTAAGGAAATATCCCTGAGGGAGAAAATAGCCAGGGATAGGCTCATGGGAACTGGGTCATCAGAGGAGATAGCTCAGATAGAGGATATAACTGAAATTCAATGTTATTTATCTGATATTTTATGTCCTGTTAATTCCAATATACTAGATTGGTGGGAAGGGAATCAATATCGATTTCCAGTTCTATCAAAAATAGCAATGGACTATCTCCCCCAGCAGGCTACATCAGTAGCATGTGAAAGGATATTTTCTAAAGCTAATGATAAAATAACTAAAAAACGCAATAGAATGAATCCAAAGATGGTTCAATCTATGATGGCACTTGAATCATGGATAAAAAATGGAATCATTTTTGATTTTTTAGAAAATAATTAAATTATTTATATACAATTTATTTTATAACCAAATATATATATCAAAAAAATTAATTAAATATGTAAATCATATTCATATGAGACAATTTATATTAAATAAATTTGTATTTTAATATTCTTTTGATTAGGCCTTTGTGTATAATATAATAAAAATAAATTGATGATATAATTGAAATATTAATAGGGAGTTTAACTATTCATTTTTAATAAATTTAAATGCAGAATAAAACTTTTGTAGCTTTATAGAATTTTTTTTTAGGTGGGACCGGACCGCTGGACCGGACCGACGGTCCCACGGTCCGGTCTCATTTGACTTAACGGTCTATCGGTCCGGTCCCATTTTAGGAAAAAAGACCGGACCGGACCGTTGCAAACACTAGTTAGGAAGTCAAGTTTTTACCCAGATTTGAAAACTAGAACTTAATGAGCTAAATCGCGAGTCAGTCTCGCAAGCTGAATCGTTTTCATTCGTGAGTTCGAATCATGAATTTGTGCAACTAACTAACTATTTTTTTTATATAATGTTAATTTAATTTACCCAAAGATGTTTGTTATTCAATTTAACCTGACTCAAACTCACTCGACCCAACTCAATCTGAATTACCCTGATCTATTTGATCCGGTTTGGTCTGAACCAAACCTATCACTGTGGCCGGGTATTTAAGAAAATTTTATAAGTTAAATTAATTTTTTTAAAGAACTTTATTAATAAGATATTCCTTAAAAGCTCAATTTTGAACTAAAAACTTATCGCTACCCAATCCCATTCTCTATTTCTCACTGATTAAATATTACAATTAAAAATGAAATAAAAGTTTAAAAAAATAAAGTAAGCCTAATGGTAAAAAGAGCTAAAAACTTATTTCACACACCAGTTACAGATATGGTATTGAGGTAAATATTTTAAAACTTCATGAATCCTGATATATTAGCAGAACCGTAGCCGTGAAGCTTTTGTTAATTGAAATAGGGGGGGGGGCAAAATTTGTGTGAGGGGCAATATTTTTTAAGGGAGGTATTATTTAGTTTATAAGTTCTTAGAAACAAATTTGGATATCAAGTTTGAGGGACAAAAAAAATTTGGGGGAGATGGGCTCTCCACTGCCGTTTTCTCTTGGCCACGGGGCTGTATATTAGATTTTTTATTATATCACTTTATTATAAAATGGTTTAAATGTATCAATTATTTAAGAAACCTTTGTCATGGACATCTAGTTAAAACACCGCAATCATTAGTTTTAAAAAAAATCCGAAATACAGGGGCTTTGACACACTGAGTGTTCCGTAACACTAACCACTAATGCGCCACAATAAGGAGTAGAATGGTATTAATCTCACCTAATTAATTATGAAAAGCCTATAGTATTAGCTTCTTTAAAATGCAGGTCAATGTGATTAGTCAAATTGAAAGGAATCATGAGCTGTTAGATTGGTGAGAAGTTTCTTTTATTAAATTCATACTTTGGTTATTGATATGATAATCCTATAATGCGTCTCGATATAAATAAGTTTATTTGAATTAAGTATTTCTTTATTTAGTAAATACATGAATTACATTTTTCTAATATTCGGCGAGAGTTAAAATATATAAATTACATTTTGTACTCCCCCTTTCAACTATTTCTCGTCCATTATATATATGATATTAATTTAATTTAATATAAAATAAAAAACAATCATTTTATAGTGTTAAACATCTTAACAGTCGCTGGCAGTGTTAATAAAATTATATCACAAACTATTAAATTAAACAATAGGTTACTTTATGGTAAAATTAAATTTCTTTTTTTAAAATATTATTATCTATTTGTTTTTTTTCTTTTTTTATTATTGTTAAAAACACGACACATCAACATGAGTTATTATTTTTGAACTAAGAAATTTGGTAGGAAATTATTTAACATTTATAACAGCCATATACTATTAATATTTTTTATAAATCTTCATATTAAATGATACGTCCCCTAGGTAATTTTATTTTTATAAAATTTTTTATTATAAGATACAAATGAGTAGTACAGAAAATTATGGTGTAGATATGTTTTCTAGATTTCTTATATAATTAATATCTATGGAGTGGGAAGAATTATAAATAAATTTTATAGTAGCTGTTGAATGCGATTTAATCTCAGCCAGAGATATACAAGCAAGTACTCAAAACGAGGAATGAGGGTTAGTATATATATCGTTACAGGGACCTAAGAAGGTTAAGGAAGCCGAAAACCAATTCTTTGAAAAATAAATTAACATAGAAGCAGGTTACTTGTTATGGGGGTTACTGACAATAATTCTAGAATCCTTCTAAGATTTGGTTTTATTATTAACTCATAATCTACATCTAGAAATTACCAAAATGAGAACACTGGCTTAACAACATGTCTGTTGACCAAATAAACGAGTTGAGTTTTACGTTAAAACAATGATAGTTATGTTAAGAATGTAACTATACTATTAAAAATATCTTAGACAGTTAGCCTTGAGCCAACAGGCCGTGGTCTAGAATTAACTTTGTTTTTGTCTAGTCAATACAAATACACTTATATTTATTAGTCATTGATAACGAGAATTAGAAAAATTAAAAAATAACAACTTTTGTAACTAGAATATCAAAACCAATGACATTAATACTATAGACTGCCGATCGTAATGCTAAAGTCAAATTTGAAGTGGCAAAAATTGAAGTGAGGGGCGGCCATTTTGTGTTTGGATCTTTTATGAAAGGAACATATGATAAATTCATAAATTTCAGGTATATTTTTATTATGTATTATATTTATAATCTTATATGTTTTACTAGATGAATTAAAAACATTTTTAGAGCATTAATGGTTATACTGTTTTGATTATTGCCTAATGTAATCAAAAATTAAAATTAGATTTTAGGCAAAAATTTAACAGAACTGTACTTTTTCAAGGGCACAAATCAAGCATTATAAAAATATGTTATTTAACTTAAATATTTATAGGTCAAGGAAAAATTATGGTAAATATTTTTAGGAAAAAACTTTACACTTTATACCATTTGCTTTATTGGTTATAATAATACATTTATTCTACTAGATGTAAATATAACATATATATTTTTGTATTTAATATTGTAAAAATTTATTTTATTTTTCATGATATACATATTCATTATTTATTTTTGTACTTTTATGAATTAAATTTAAATAAAGAAATATATTTAGAAATGGATAGTTTATAATTATTAAGGAATAACATAATTGAAAGCAAAAATAAAATATAAAAAGTCTTATAAATTATAATCTTAAAGTATTATAAAATTCTAAAAAAGAAATTATATATTTTTTTTTATAATTTAAAATATTGATCAATAATCTATATTCATTTTGGTTTTCTGAGTAATTTCCAAATAGAAAAATGTAATATTCATAATAGATTCCAAATCATAAAGTTTTGTTTTTCATAGGAAATCTGCCATAAATAATTTTTACAAAAGAAAATGGATTAATAATAGTTGCATCTTCATATAATAAATATTTTAGATTTAAGTCTAACAAAAATTAGAAATCAATAGTTAATTTGAGATATCATACTTATGAAAGAAATTTTGTTTCCTGAACAATATTTTTGGTTACAGCCATGCACTGCAATATATTACCATTTTCTTAAATATAAAAAATATATTAAATTTTATAATAGATTTCAAATCACATGAAAAATATTTAATTCAAAATGATAAGTATTTTACTCTAAAAATTAACTGGATAAATTGATAATTCTGATATTACACTCCATGGTAAGTAAATCTTTTAGTAATAAAAAATAGAAATCATTTCAAGATTATATAATATATCTTTACTCACTTTGATTTGTTATTGAATATATAAATAAAAAATATTAAATTGAATATTAAATCGAATTCTTATAAAATATATTCAGTTCAATTTGATAAGTCTAAATAAATTTGAAAAATGTTAAAGATTTCATGAAGTATTAAATAAAACAAATCCTTACTTCTCTAAATGGCACAAAATTTTAAACTATGTTCTTATTACTATGCAGATTTGATTTTATATTGATTAGTTTATAAAAAATATTAAGGATATTCATTAAGGAAAGAACTGCAAATGTTAATGAAGAGCAGAAATATCATTATAAAAGGTATTTATTCTAACTTGATTAGTCTAAATAAATCTTAAGTATTAATCATCACTTTTATTTGTTCTGCAAATATTAATAAAGAGCAGAATTTAATTATATTCATAAAAAATATTTATTCTAACTTGATTACTCTAAATAAATATTAAAAATTTGCAATAATCAAAACAGTATAACCAGTGGCGTAGCCAGGATTGATCCATGGGGGGGGGGGGGGTTGAAAAGTTTTGGGGGCTTCGCCCCCAAACCCCTTATCAAAATTTGCCAATATTTTGTGTATTATACCCAGGCCAGCATAAATATTAAAAAATATTAGAATTAAAATTTTTGCCAAATTTATAATTAATAAGCGACTGAAAGCATTATTTTGAAAATGTTATCAATGTTTAGTAAATTGTATATTAATTCAATCTATTCGATGTAAAAAAAATTTGCCTCCCCCCAAACCTTCCAATTTTATGATCAACTCAATATATCTTATTCTATGTTAAAAATAATTATTTTAATTAAATTTTTGCATATAACAATATTTTGCAGAGATTTTATTTATTATTAACTTTATTTATTTAACTATGTATTTATTTTAATAATATATAAAAAAATAAATTTCAAAATATATAAATTTTATACAGATTATTATATTAAAAATTGAATGTAAATAACTATATTTTAAAAAAATAAAATTGCAATAAAATATGTAATTCTTGCTAAAAAAATACAATTTAACAATTTTATTTAGTATAAACCTTTTATTTAACTATGTGTTTATTTTATATACAAAAAATAAATTTCAAAATTAGAAATTTTATACAGATTACTATTTTAAAAATTGATTGTAAATATCTATATTTTAAAAAAATAAAATTACAATAAAATATAAGTAATTTTTGTATGCAATTTAAAAAAATATAATTTAACAGTTATATTTAATACAAATGAGTATATTATATAAATAATTCTTATTGTAGGTGCAATACTATTAATAAATATAGTATAAAAATATCATGACTAAAAATTCATTATAATTAAGTTTTACATATAAAAATTTTATGACTAAGAAAATATTACAATTATATGATTTGAATTTATAAAAAGAGGTCTACTTTTCTCTGAGATTTGGCTAATTCATCTAGAATCAAATTTTTATCTAGAATAATCTCCTTATAAATATTTAATAGGGCTAATCCATTTAAACGGTTTTCACCGGTGCTATTTCTTAAATAGGTTTTTAACCTTTTCAAAGTTGAAAAAGACCTTTCATTAGTGCAGGTACTAATCGGTAAAGTAGCTAAAATAAAAAACAATGTTTTGATATTGGGCAGGGAATCTAAAGTGCAATTACACAAGGAAAGGGCCTGCAAAGCATTTTTTGGTCTCAAAGAGTACTCTATTCTGCCAAGATTTTTATACCAAAATTCTCCATCACAAAGTAACTTATCATACGACCCTAATAAATCATCAGAATAAAACTCTGAGATGTTCTTAATATCCTCTCGCGTTTCAAGTGTAATCAACAATTCAGACTCAACCGGCAAAAGAAAATAAAAGCTTTTTAAAATAAAATTGTGACTTATAAATCTTTCCTTTAATTGAAATAAAAATGTATCAATAAGTGGAATAAAAATGTTAATTTTATAAAAATCCTCAATCGTAGATGCATCAATATTTGAGCGATTGGATTGTCTAGAAACTACTCTAGGTTTAAAAATTTCAATCCCAAACATATTAGCGATCTCCTTTACTTTCTCATATATTTCGTGAAATTTTTCATCCACATTATCTCTGATATTTGTTAATATTTCAACAATATCCTTTGCCCTATTCATAACCTCCCTTAAATCCAAATCAATTTTTTGTAACATTTTGCTAAAATCATATGTATAATTAAATAAAAAATAAACACATTGAATTGAAATTAAAAATTGAGGCTTCGTAATAGCCTGTAAATGATTTTCCGCATCTGCGGAATCTTTTTCTTTGCGTAATATGTATGATTCCAGTGCCGCAAAAATAACCTCATATAACTCGATGAAAACCTTCACCGATTGTTGTCTTTCAATGAATCTTGTGGGACAAAATCTTTTGAATTTTTTTTTTGAATTTTTTGAATCAATTTCATCGAACGTTTGGGTAAAAATCTCCCTCTTCTTGGGTGGGGTAAAGAAGTCACAAACCGACGATATTGTTTCTAAATTTTGAAAAATATATAAAAATTATATAAAGATATCTATAATACATAATAAAATCTAATAAATTTCAATTAAATCAAAATCTTTTTACGTAAACTGTTCCGGATGTCTCTAATTTCACATGCCTCAGTTATCATCAAATTCAGGCAATGTGAACTGCAGTGAACATAAAGAGCTGTGCTATAAAGCTCTCTAATTATTGACTGGACCCCTTTAACATGGCCACTCATCGAGGGAGCTCCATCGTACCCTTGGCCTCTCAGTAGATTTAAATCCAGGTTTTGAAGTGATTTAATAATTTGATTAGCAATCGTTTCTGACTTAGTGTCAGGTAATTCAATAAATTGAACAAATAGTTCCTTCATTTTATAATTACCTGATTCCATATCAATAAACCTTATTGCTATGGATAGTTGTTCAATATTACCAATATCGGAAGTTTCATCCGCCAAAACACTAAAAAATGGTGATGCTTTGACTTTTGAAGAAACTTTCTTTAATATAAACTGATTGCATATTGATATTATTTCATTTTGAATAGTGGGACTTAGGTAAGTAGCATTTTTAGAGGAGCTTTCAAAAAGCTTTAGGTAGTTGTCATTATTATTACATAAAAATTTCAATAATTCCTTAAAATTTCCTTCATTGTGAGAAGGGGATGTAAGTGTTAGGGGGCCAGGAGATATCCTATGAGCTCTTAACGCCAAGCCCTGCCTCCCTAACCAAATGATAGCATCAATAATTATAATTATTCTTGATCGATTTTTTGTAACAATATCAAAATTTTTTTTATTCAATACATTGGATATTGATATCTTTTGATTCATTGAGATTTCTTTTAAAGAATCCATTATCTCACAGGAATTAAGATGATATTTATTTTTTTGATGATAATTAAAATTTTCGAGCGCATCTTTCCATCTTGTGTACACTTGACTTACCAATGTTTTGAGTTTTTGTAACCCATTTCCAGCATATCTTGGGGAAAATATGACGCAAACTTTACAAAATGCGCCCTTTTCATCGGCTGAGTAAGCAAGCCACTTATATTTGTTAAGCTAGGATGCTTGAAAGGTTAAATTTCTTTTGCCCAATGGAAATTTATAACATTTGTCAGGTATCCAAATATTTTCAACACCTAACAATTTTTCATTATCATTTTTAAAATGAAAATTTAAGTAAAGTGAAACATCTTTTTGAGAACGGTGTGGTGTTTCTATATTTTTTTTAGATTTTAAATGATATATTTCAATATGAATTTCAATGTTAAGAGCTGAGCAGCACAAGAAAAAAATCTGGATTATAAAAAATGTATCTCAGATAGATATCAAAGTTTCTTAATAAAAATTTAAAGACAGATACAAGTAGAAGGAAATTACTATAGAATATCATTACCAGTTTTAATTAATATTTTTATATTTGTAGGATGATTTACACTCATGGAAGTGAAGAAGGTAGTAATATTTAAATTATGAAAATAAGTTCCTAAATATTATAAGCTGCCCAAGATTGTATATACAAAAGATTTTAAGAAAATAATTATGTTCTTCACAAATAAATAATAAAAACTGTATTTTATAAACTATTCTAGTTTAATTGGTAATGATAAATCATCTGTATCTAAGATTCATTTTTTCATAACAAATCTGTATCTAGATTATTTTTCTGGAGGGCCTGCCCAACTCTGTTTGTATTGTAGATACAAGTTTTCAATACTGCTTAACTCTGTTTGACTTATAATGTACTACCTTTTGCAAAATAACACAAAAAAATGACTAACTTTAAAATTATAACTAAATATCGTGCATTGCAAAATTTTAATAACTCAAAATGAAAATAGTATAATTTACAAATAAAAAAAATGGAATTAAAATAAATACTATACCATCATTTGATGATTTTCCAGATGATTTTGTAGCTAACTCATCATTGGTTTTCCCATGGAGTGGTAATGGTATGTCTGGTCTTTCTAATTGCAAGATTTAAATAAAAGATATTATAAATAATACCATTACCTTCGTCATCTGAGGATACAACGAAAACCAACTCAACTGATGGCTGATTTTTACTAGCAAGAGCAACATCTATATCTATATATATTTCTAATTCAAATTACACAACTTAAATTTTTATATACCTTTTTCTTTTTGTTGTTGACGAAAAAACTTACAGATATCCATATTTAAAAATTATAAAAAATTAAAATTTACAAACTATCTATATAGTTTAAAAATATATATTTAATAATTAAATTTATAAATATCTAATTTAACTATGCCAAGCCAGAAAATATTTACAAAATATCTTTATTGTTATTTAATAAATTTAACTATGCCAGAAATTATTTACATACAATATTTCTTTATTCTTTTATTGTTATTTAATATTTTAGTTCATATAATTTATATATATTTTTAAACGATGTGATCATTTAAAATTAAAACTCCTTTTTTTATAAATATATTTCATTGTGATATTCATATTCATATTGTATTATATATAATATATTATCTTATTTCTCTAAATTGAAACCGTTTTTTAAATATAATTATTCGCAATAAAAAAAAAATTAAAAAAAAAAAATTTTTTTTCATGGGGGGGTTTTGACCCCAAACCCCCCCCCCCCCCCCCCCCTTGTCTACGCCACTGAGTATAACCATTTTCTCTAAAAATGTTTTTTTATTCATCTAGTAAAACATAAGATTATAAATATAATACATAATAAAAATATACCTGAAATTTATGAAATCATCATATGTATCTTTCGTAAAAGATCCAAACACCAAATGACCCCCACTTATTTCAATTTTTGCCACTTCAAATATATAATCGGCAGTCTATAGTATTAATGTCATTGATCAAAACATCTTTTCAATAACTAATTTATCCGATTTATAGTAGTTTAGATTTATAGAAATACTTGAATAGATAAGATATTAAAATTTTTTCAGAGTTATAAGAAATATATCAAAAAGATATCTAAAATAAAAAAAATTTTTATTATAACTTATCTAAGTCTTTTACCCTTGTTTTCAGAGTAATACATCTGAAAGAATTGCATGATGCTTTCTAGAGAATTTATAAATTGGTCTATTTATAATTTTACTAGTTTTGGATATTTTTTAACGGTATATTTAAAAATAAAAGTTTAATTTCTGAATCAAGCGAGGTCTGTAAATAATCAACTATCTTAAATATATACCTACATAATATTTAAATATTACAACATAATCCTAATGATTTAATTTTTTTAAAATAAAAGTCAAACATTGGTAAAAGGATATTAAAATCTTGAGAAATATCCCAAATTATTTAAGTAGATTGATTAATTCTAAAAACTAACAACTTACCTAATTAAAATTTCAAATATCTATTTAAACTTATAAGATTTTGTTTAAAATTGGACTATCTCTTGCCTGTGTTGTTAAATCGGCCCAATCCTATTCCTAACTATCGGGAAAAACTTGTTAAGCCTTAAACATGAGTTAATTTTTTTTCAAGATTGAGCTATCCTTTAATTTAACCTCGATTGAAGTTAAAATGATGGTTTCGATTAAAAAATTGGTTTAGCTTTTTTAGAGTCAGAGTCAGCTTAAAACTTGCTACGATCACGATTTACTATAAATACAGATTAAGCCATTTATAAAAAAAAATTATGTGCAGTGGGGAGGGGGGGGGTTGCAAATATTTTTAACGAAAATTTAACTAGTGGATCAATCCTTTTTATAAAATGTTTCAATGGGTTGAGAACTCTAAAAATTTTGTAAAATAAAAACTTTTTGCTTCTTTATCTTCTATGCTGAAGACGATGTCTGGCCATGAAAAAATATGAAAGGAAAAAAAATATTAAATTTTTATAACAACTTGCCCCCTTTCTTCCTTCCAACAATATATCGTAAAGATATAAATAGATAAGGTTTTCCTTAATCTTTAAAAAATAATTATTATTATTCTATTGTTATATAATTTTCTTATTAATTGCAAATTCGACTATATAAGCATATCATCAATTTTATATCAGTATTTGATGTGGATAATTATGACAAAACATATGCTTTTTAAAATTGCAGCGAGCGTGTGTTCTTTTACAATTGAAAATGATGAGGTCCTAGATCAACGTGCTAAAATAATATAGTAGTAAGTAAAATTTTGCCAAATTAGAAATTGAATTCTCAATAAAAAATGAATAGTTAACAAAATATAAGATTTTCAAACTTTAAAACCTTATAGAAAAAAATGTATAATATTTTTATATAAAAATATGTCCAAAATATAATTCAAGAAAATTTCAAAAATTTTACACCTGATTTTATTGAAATTTTATAACTTCTAAAAGTTTTAAAACTTTTTGAATATTTTGAAAAAAGATTTTGATGCCGAAGAGATGTTAATATTTGTTTATTTTTAATAACACTCAGAGTTTTAGTTTTTATAAATTTTTATATTGTTTATAGACATGCTAAATAATATATGGCGCTATTCATATATCCTAAAGCAAGAATGCACTATTAATGAAAATACTATTTTCACATAAAATAACTTCTATATACTGTCGCAAATACTCTGAATCACTGTTTACATCATATAAGCAAAGAATTACTATTAAATGAAAATATTATTTTTGCAATATATATAAGTTTGTAAATAATTATACTTTCTTTTTTTTCCATATCATTTTAAATAATGTTTTTTGAACATTATTTTTTTCAGGTTTAACAATTATTTCTTCAGATTTAACATGGCAAAAGTGGAACATCGAAAAGAAGATATTTTTAAAATTGATAAACAACTTTTATCCAATAAATATGCTAAAAAAATTAATTTTGATGATAATCATATTAAAAAACTTGAAAATCTAGAAAATTCTGATAGCTTACTTGAAGTATATATATTTTATTTAAATTTTCATGTTTATTAACTTTTATAAGTTATCAATAGCCAATAATAATATCAATAAAATATCTGGACTCACAAAATTAACTTGTTTAACAGAATTAAATCTATCTGGAAATGCTATTACAACAATTGAAGGTAAATTTGCTGGCCTATTTAAAATAGTAGTACAAATATTATTTTGACACTTTCTAACTCTATGAAGGGAGGGGGGGCATTGTCCCAATATCCCCTTTTGGCTGACAATCAGACCAGTTTTCCCCAGACTTTGGTCAGGTTAACTTTTATAGAATATCTTCTAGTGTCAAAAATTTCATGGATTGTTAAATATGTATAAAGAATATGGCTGAAGTGAATCTTATATCTAAATTGAAATGAAAAAAAAATATTAATTTACTTAAAATTTTACTTGAGTATTTTTAAATATTTTCTCATAATAACTAATTTACCAAATTTTTAAACTTTTATTACCATAAATTAATATTTTTATTGGAGTCAGGTATGACCACAAAATTTTGGCCTATGCAGGTTTTCTTGAATAAATTCAGAAATATTAATTTAACTTATTTGGTTTATCTAAAAGCTTCTTTTGGAAAATTACCATTCTTCAGGGACAGAATAATTTTCAAAATAATAAATAATTCTATCCTCATTTGTAAATATATTTAAATTATTGAGAAAGTGATATATAATAACAACTATAAGTATGATTTAAAATTTAGTATAATTTAACTAAATCTAAATTATGATGCTTCAAAATTAAGATTTTTATCTAGACATAAAACAAACTTAATCATAGTGCATTGATCCATATCTTATACATATATTTTACCTTTGTAGTTATATGTATAGCAATGAAAATTTGTAATATAAAAATTTTAACTTTTGCAGTATCTACAACCTTTAAAGAAATAGAAAATAAATTTAATTGAATTTCAATATAACAAAAATAATACCCTTTTCCTTTCCCTATTTCTATTGTATCTCCTGCTTTTAAGAACCAATGAAAATAGGGAAAGATTTTTTAAAAATTTTGTGCTAAATTTAAAAAAAAACCACTATTAGTAATATTAGTTTTTGAAAATGATTTGAAAACTTGCCCTTGAAAATGGCAAATTATTTTTCCTAAAATTATAAAATTAAATTTGAAGATTTTTGGGTTCGGTTCATCCGGTGGTAAGTATTATTTTATTTTAATCATATTTATTTACAGATATAACTTACATTAAAGAAATTAAGCTTAAAATTAGCCATCACCCACCTTTAAAGTAATTAAATTATACTGTAGTTCTCGGGTATAGGCTTTTTCTTTGTCCCACTCCTTTTAAATTAAAGCCTATAGAGGTTTAAGCAACATTTTTCAAAATGTTGTGCCTACAAGTACGTACGGCTTGCCCACAAACGTGTAAAGAGCTTCTCATCTTTTTCCCAAATTTTATTTAATCCAATTAGATGGAAATGAGAAATACCTAGCGTAGCTCTGTTGTACATACAACGTTTAGAGGGCGTATGCGCTTTATGACGTATGACGTAAAATTGATTTGCTTTATATTAATATAAACTCAGTGGCGTTGCCAAAATTTATCCAAGATATTTTTTTTCAAACTTGTACTTGCCAGTCTTGGGCCAAGTCCCATGTATGAAAAAATGGGATTAGGCATTTTTAATTTTTAAGTAGATCTTTTTATTTTACTTTTTAAAAAATGTAATATATTTATATCATCTCCATTAAAGGTGACTGAACAATTGGAAGCAGTAATTATATAATTTATGTATGCCAATTTTTTGTGCTTTATTATCTATGCATTAACCAGATAAATAAAAAAAATTATTAGCTACAAAATTTTGGCCAATCTTACGATTAAAAAGCGATTGAAGGCATTTATTCTGATTTTTTTTAATGTTTAGTGATATTGTATATTATTTTAATTTGTTTCATTTTGGTAGACAGTACATAGAAAAAAAGTTATTAGCAAAATAAGAAAAAATTGGCATTGTCCCAGAATGAAAAATATGAAGAACTAAATATCTGGTTTGCGTAATATTTAATATCTGTCTGGTACTTATTAATTCTTTAATCAGTTTTGCGAACCCCAAAATGAAGCCGAGCTATAAATAAAATGAAAACTGATATTACACATTAAGCATGAAGTGAACAACGCTTTTTGAATCACTAATTCTGGAACTTATGCCAAATTATCAAGTAGTGCTCAATTAGTAAATTTTATTAAATTAATCTTTTTGGCAAAATATTTAAAGGTATAAAAAATTATTTGTAAAATAAGAAATAAATTGGCATCATGCTAGAACAGAGAAACAGAATATAGAAGTTCAAAATATCTCTGTGGTAAGATTTAGTGACTTATTTATTAACTGGGGAAAACGATTTTAAAGAATTCGAATATAAGAATCTACATTAAGTTAAAAATTGAGAGGTAATTCATAATACTACTTCCAAATGATAAAAAATACTTTACTATAAAATTTGTTATGAGCTATTTATTTCATAAAATTAAAGTGTAAATGGAACAAATTAAGCACTCTGAATTATTTTTTGTTTAAATCCTACACTTCAATTGTATATATAAAAACTTATTAAATAAATGTAAAATAATCTGAGGTAACTGTGTTATGAATCATCAAATTACATAGTATAAAGACACAATCTTTATTTAATTTTCTAATTTATTCATGGAAATAATAATTTAGCTAAATAAAAAATCATGCATGCCAATATTTAATTTATAATTTTTTCCATACATTCTTTATCTTATTTATATATATATGATAATATCATAGATAATTATGCATTTAAAATAAAATTATGAAAATGTCCTAAAATTGTGAGTTCTAAACGTCGCCAAAAATTAATGTTTAAAAATTTATATATACATTTTTCAAAATAATCAAAGTCCACTCCTAACTCAAAAATCTTGTGTTATGGAGCACTCCAATTCTGTCGACTATATTTTAAAATTTTTCTTGCCAATTATTTTTTTTTGGAAAAATAGGCAATTTAGAATTTTTTTATACATGTAGTCATGATGAAGGAATGCCCACATTCATTGGATTTAATTGCATCTCACTTTTATAGAAATTTATCGTTTGTGGTCTTTTCCTATCACTCTCCTAGCATCATATTTATCGCCTGTCATGTCTTAGCTTCCCTAATATAGCGCGACATCGCTATATTTACGCGACGCAATGAATACTAATTCAATTGGTTCTATATTCGCGTCATAAAACATAACGATATCACACTACGTATGGTTAAATGTGAATGCATAATAACCTTATCAACACATTTAAAAGAAATTATACAAATTCCCCTGGCCTACAATAAAGTCAAGGTTACATAAAACTTTACGTTAGAGACCTGCAGAAATTTTTTTGACCCAAGCCCGCACGCAGCCCGGTGTCTATTTTTTTTAGATCTAGGCTCGACCTGTCGCAGCTCGTTGCCCGTTTTTTTTAAAAAATTTAGGGAAGAAATCTTAAATTCAAATATATTTTTTACTTTAATGTTATGCATTAAATTTAAATATTCATCAATAACATGACAAATTTATCTTTTTTATTCTATTTATTACAAAATATTATAATGAAAATTAATAGTAAATATGATTTTTAAAAAACTTTTCATGTTTTTTTAAATTCATTATATAATTCGTCGGCTTAGTATTATATATTGTTCTATATATGCATTTTTTTTAAATTTTTTGAGGAAAACATTTTTAAAAATATTTCTTGCATCTTTTACATTGTTTATGTTTACCAATTCAACGAAAATAAAATGTGCATTCTTTAATAGCTTGCCATGAATAGGCTTATTTTTACTAAATATACTTACATACCTCATTCTATACGATCGATATGTTGGCTTTGGTTTACTAGTAATTTTATTTTAATAAGCATAACCAAATTTATACGTAGCTTTATAAAAATTAACCTGACTTATAAAGATTTTTTATCCAATCTTAATTTTATTTTGTTTGGCAAAATTTATATGATGACCAAATCAAACTTTTCTTAGCTATTTTCCAAGTTTATATTATAATAATAGTAAAATAAAATTGAATGTTTATTTTTGTCGCCCTATTTTTTCCCCCTAACTGAACCACGATTTATCGATTTTTTTAAACTCTTTTTAAGATGAGTTCAACTAGTATGTATTATGATATAAAAAAAATAAACATATAATTTATCGGTATATTTGATTGCGCAATAAGACGTATAAATAAAAATACAAAAATCTTGATTTGCCCCCTTCACAATCTGTCTGATCTTAGAAATGACTCAATTTAAGCAAATTATAATCTTTTTCTAACTATTGATTTATAAACGTAATCGCAACTGTCTAATTTGTAGACTAATAATCTCCTTTGTTATTTTATTATACAGTTTTTTTTACACCAGGTCTAGATCTTACTTAAGGGCAAACTAATTGTATAAATTATCGACCCAATTCAACATCCCAAATTAATCTCCAAAGTTAAGTCAATGGCACACAATTCACATTAAAACGTGAATTCACAAATATAAAAATGGCTATAATGATTGAAACTAGATTTTTAAAATTATTTTACCTTGGTAAAATGTTTTTCTTTAAATTGAATATTTTTAAATTTTATCGTGCGTTATAAATTATAAAGCATTTTATTCTTTGAACGACCAATTTTGGTAAAAATTAATAAGTTAAATTTAAGAGCACGTGCTGTTATTTATTCGTTAATTTTTAAATAAAAAACAACTGTGCATGCGCAAATCCGCCATTATATAATGAATATTCACATGTTTTAGAATTTTACCTGCTTGCTAAATTTATATATTATTATTTAGTTTGTAGATTATTACTATTTCTTTATTTAGGAAAAAAATAATTATTTTTTCGATATAATGTCCGTTTCATTTTTTTTCAATCTGTACTGAGAAGTGGTCTAAGTTCTTTAAAAAAAATTGTTCTCTTTTTATCTTATTTGTTAACACATCATACGAACAATTCATAATGTCTACATTAGATAATATAATGTGCGGAAAAGGAGATTCCAAATTAACGCACACAAGCCTAAACATTATAAATAACCGAAATACGATCTGCATAACTCAAATTTATGGCGGAAATAGTATGATTAAAAAGCATCTTTCAGAATGGTAAAAATAATTTCATAGTTTTGAGCACGCGATGGAATAATGCGCACTGTTATGCCCCCAATCACAAGCTCTCACCATTTTAGATTGCCAATGTGGCATAAACTATAAATTTTTGAAATGCTACAGGCAACACAGCGGAAAATACCCACATACAAAAACTATTTAAGGTGACATAATATACGCTATTTTTTTTAATGTTTACGTATCGTGAAATCAGTCGGGTGAGATAAAGAAGCATTTTAAATTTAATTTAAAAGTTATGAAATTGGGCGTTATACTTATAAGTTCTTTGCCCATATTTTATTATCTCCACGAGCTCAATTTGGCAGATTGCCAAATATAAATTTTTATTTATTAAAGTTTGTATATTTACCAACACAGGATGTACAAAGCTCGAATATTTTGAATGTTCGGGAGGACATATATATTTTCCGTATTCTGTTACACATTATATCATAAAAATTTATAGAAGAGCAGTTAAAATTAGGATTGAATATTGATGCCGAGCTCTACAAAATGAAAACCATATACGATAGAGACAGTGATAAAGAAAATACTTTTTCTGTCATTATTTAGAAAATAGAAAACATGGGAAAGTAAATTTATGTCACTATTTTTATTTTACAATTTGATATAATTTGCAAATACAGTCGAGACCAATTAAGGGCGGTGTATTAGCTGATCACCTTATAGATGTGGTAAAATCAAAAAATCGGAAAACTGTTTATTTTTCTTTTATATTATACAAGATGTCAGGGTTTACTGCAAAATGACTTTAAAAAATATCTCCTTTTTTAGAAGTGGTTTTGGTTTAATTTAACTTCCAGAATTACTCTCAGAACTCAAGGTAATGCTCACAGAAATGTCTTTTATAATTTCATATTGATCTTTATCTTTCATCCCCTATGGCTCATCTCTCCTCACATATGATCCATATTTAATGAATTGATTCATAAATGGGTTTAATAAATAAAGAATTAAGAATAAAAAAATCTCTAATTGTTTCTTTATTTATTGTTGTATTTATTTTAATAGTGTAAAAATAAAAAAATTCTTTAGAATAGAGAAGTGATCAATAGTGATACAAAATCTCTCCATTTGAGCCAATTTTTAAAAATGGCAAACTAAATATTTTAGCCAGAAAATTATCCCCTAAGCCTCGAGATTTCGCTAATAAATGTCCAAACTTTTATGCCATCTATGAGCAAAATCTTCAGGTTTGTTTTTCTGGATAATATACTGAGTTAGCCGTTTTAAAAAATTGGCTCAAATGGAGCGATTTTGCATAACTGGTGGTCAATACCATACTAAAGTACGCAATTAAAAAGGTCACTATTAAAAGAGATGATATATATATCACACTTGGTTTTGTTGTATTAAAGAGATATCATAAAATAATAATTCTACCTGCTTAGAACTTAACTCAACTAGCTAATGGCAATTACTTTAATAAGACATTTCCCTTAAATCTCGTTGTTTAAATTTTTATATTGTTTTTTTTTCTACATCCTTCATAAAATAAAATTCCATTTGAATTTTTTTTTTATAAAATTTTTTTTTTACCTTTTATAATAAAATAGTCATTAAAAAAATTTGAATTATACTACTATCCAGTTTAAATCGATATAATGATTTTTTTTTAGTTATACATTGCCACCAAACAAAGTTTGATAGAACATAAATTATAGTAGCCATAATCTAACTACAATATAAAATTACAATTGGAGAAATACTTGAAATGTGAAAATCAAATTATGGAAAAAGGTGTTTACCTACTTTCCTGAGAAATTTAAAAGAGTGTCGTCTCAAATTTTTCCATCCAGAATTTTTCAGAATGTAGAAAAGCCTTTATTTTTTGAAAAAAAAATTGGATATTTTTATTGGCTGATACATTCAAACCATTTAACCAAAGTCTCTGCAATATAAATGACTGTTATGTTTGGAAAAGAGAACCTTTTCATTCAAAAGACCATACGTTTAAAAAATTGCGAAATGAATATTGAGACTCGATAAGTTTATTCATACCGTACAAATCCCTCCAACCCTCCAGCCATAGAAACTCAAGCGAAATCCCTCAACTCAAATGAAAAATATGCTTAAGTTTTCATTTTTTTATTTTAGTCCCAACTTATATTAATTACAAAGTTCTTCCTGAATTGTCAGTATGGCCAATTTATAGTGATTTTGAATTATAAAAAAGAATGAAGAAAAAAATATTATAAAACTTAAAACTAAATTACCAAAAAAATATGAAATATATTTTTAAATATAATAATGATTATTGAATCTTTCACTTTTTCCTAAAACTTTTTATAAAAATTTTCACATGTTCTTCCTTTTATGATTAGTTATTTTCTTCATGATTGAAACTTTTTATAAGATTTTTTTCCTCTAGTAATTTACACTTAGCATTGATTTACACTTATCATTAATTTAAATATTACACTGATATTCTTTTAATTTCAGAGGAATGTCTAAACTTTAGATAAAAAAAAGAGGGATGTAACAACGCCTTGTTTTTTTCATGAATAAATCTATAGGTAATTTCTGCCACCTATACCTTAACCCTCTAGCTATGCTTGTGTATTTGAAAAGTTATTCACTTTTATTATTATTAAAACATTGACCTATCTTTGTAATCTGAAATTTTTACTGCGACCAAATTTATTTCGGAAGAAGTGACCATTATAAAACTAATTGGTAACCTGACTTTAAATTTTGTTTGTCCCGCGAGGAACGTAATATTGTTTTCCGTAACAGTTTTAAGCAAAAATTTATTTATAATAAATATTTTTATGGCAAAATAACCGAGGTCTTTCGTTAAATGTAATTTTAAAACGGTAACATTTTTTAGTCGATTTCATAAGTATAATAAATTTTTAAAACCGCTTAAAGCTTTTTAATAAACTTTTTATTTAAATTAATGATTTCAACCTTTGTAATCTTTTTTGGTAATAAAATTATAAATTGTATACTTGTAAGTATATTATTTTGTATAAATTTTTTAAGTAAATAGTGTTTAATTTATTACCACATCCTTATACATTACATTATATCTTCCTTTCTTAAATAAAAGCAAAATGGGTCAATTGTTCAATTTATAAAAAATATTGCTTTATATACTCTATTTCTCAAAATAATACAATTATCAGGTCTCAAAACCCTAATTAATCTAGTCAGCCTCAACCTTTCTCACAATCATATCAAAGTTATTTTATATTCTATATATATTTTTTTTTCAAAACTTATTCAATTATTCATTATTTCCCGTTCTTAATTAAAAATCAATCATAGATTTTAATTTATCAGCGTTTGTCAGACACACATAATACAACTGTTTAAGAATGTTATTTTATTCTATCAAAATGCGTCGTGACAATATAGTTATCTGATATATTCAATCACGAAAATAGTGTTGTCGAAAAACTCAAGATTTTAGCTAAAAAATATTACCTAAGCCTCGAGATTTCGCGTATAGATGGTTAGCCCTCTTTTGACCAAATTTTGAGGCTTAGGAATACATATTTTTCAACTAAAATCTTGATTGGTCTTTTTTTAAGTCATCAAATTGAAGTTCTAGACTACGCTATTCACATAAATGTTTAAGAGTATTTGACGGCTCAAATTTATTTTCTGTCTTGATTGATCGTATTTGATTGGTTAATTGATCGATTTTACAATCCTGATATTTATACTAGGGTTCTGCAGAGGTCAAAATTTCAAGCTCGGCCCGGATTTGAAAAAAAATTATTTTCAAGCCCGGTCCGGGATTTTTTTAAAAAATTTAGGCCTCCCGGTTTTTTATTTTGATAATTTATTGACCAGGGATTCTAAAAATTTCGTAATTTTGTATAATTTTCTAAATTGTTTTAAAGATAAATTGAAAATATAAGAAGTAAATGAATATGATTTTCCAACTGATTAATTGGATATATTTTAAAAAAAATTTAAATCAGTCCTGTTCGCATTTTTAATTTTTGAAAATTTTTAAGCCCGGCCCCAATTTTTAGTTAAAAAAATTTTTTTAAGGCCCAGCCCGGGATTATAAATTATACCATCTTTCGGCCCTTTCTGGACTAGACCTAAGGGCCTGGCCTGTAGGTTTTGGTTTATTCTATATTCAATAGATACGAATCAAATAATTTTTTTATACAAAAATAATTTCTATAAAATAAATAATATGGCATGTTTTTTTTGTATATAGAAATTGGGAAATTTATCAGCAAATCAAAATCTTTCGTCCTTGAACCTCGCTCACAATGAAATTTTTCATATAGCTAACATTTCGTCCTTAAATAAACTTAAAGTATATTATTTATTGTTATAGTAAATTTGTTAAATAAACATGTTTTTTGTTAATTTTAAAAATATTTATATTGTGCTATTTTTTAATTTTAGGATATAGATCTGTCATACAACAAATTAAAATCGCTTTCTAATATACCGTGTTATCTGCCCAGATCTATTCTTGTTTTGAAACTCGCTCATAACTGTCTCGAAGATTTAACGCACGTAAGACTTTAAAGGCAGATATATATTTTTTCAATTTTATTTTGATGCTTAATTACCATTAATTTTTAAATCTATTAATTAAATTATCATGTTTAATCTATAATAATAGTGATTGGAAAGTAATTTGTTTATATAAACCGTTTAAAAAAATGACACTATAAAACTCAAAGAAGCAATTCACAATTATGCAAAAGAAATTGTGCAAATTATGAATGAAAACTTTGATTTTTCATTTCTGGTCTACTTATAATAGAAATTTTAAAAACTAAAATTTAAATTGAATTTCACAATATTTAAGATGAGCTCTTTAGTTTTAATCATTGTTAAATGTTTTAGATTGGGATACATATTCCCCTTTAGAAGATAAACTATATCATTCAAAAATCTTAATAATAACAGCCATACTTCGTACAGTAATATCGATGAAATATTGACCGAATATATTCGATAGCAAGTTAAAGCTACAGGGAAACTATTTTGTTTAACGATATTAATTATAATATCAGTGAAGTTTCCATATAGTGACCAGTTCATCAATAAAAGCGAAAAGATAGGAATATTTCTTATATATCTGGGAAATAATATGATTGCTAGGGAAGGTACGCAGTGACGTAGCCAGGATTTATCCATGGGAGGGGGAGATTAAATTTTTTTAAAACTATTTTGTGCTTTATTAGTGTCTAACCAATATAGTAGCCAGCATAAATTAAAAAAATATTAGTAACAAAATTTTGTCCAAATTTATGATTAATAAAGCGACTGAAAGCATTACTCTGAAAATTTTATCACTGTTTAGTCAATTGTAAATTAATTCAATCTATTCGGTGTAGAAAGAAAAAAAAATTCGCCCACCAAACCTCCCCTTTTTATGATACTTCAATATATCTTATTCTATGTTAAAAATAATTATTTTAATTAAATTTTTGTATATAACAAAATTTTGCTGAGAATTTCATTATAAATTTTATTTATTATTAAAATACTTTAGTATAAATAATAGGGGTGTACCTATACCACTTTTTGGAGGCCGATCCGATCCGATATTCTCGATATTAAATTGATATCGGCCTATTACCGATCAGGTATCATATCTAATTTTGTATTCTGTAAAGATACCAATGGTTTTAATTTTTAATATACTTTTTATTAGTATAACATCTATAATTTAACTATACCATAACATGTAATTTAAATATATTAAAATAATCAGTTATAGTTTATATTCAATTCAATTGCAATTCTAAAACTATATAAAATATTTTTATTGTTAAATCACTTTTATACAATAAGTAATAACATTAATCAATATACATAATATGTAATAAACAAATATATTATAAAATTTGAAATAAATATTTAATATTAATATATCGAGGATTTCTTTTTAGAATTACCAGAGACCTGCAGAGGTACCATTTGCACGGCCCGGCCCGGTTTTAAATTTTTTAGGCCCGGCCCGGATATTTAAAAAAAAATTTTTACGGCCCGGCCCGGCCCGGCCCGGATTTAAAATTTTAAGGCCCGGCCCGGATATTTTTTAAAAAAATTTTTTACGGCCCAGCCCGGCCCGGATTTAAAAATTTAATACCCGGCCCGGATATTTTTTAAAAAAAAATTTCAGGCCCGGCTCGGAATTTTTTAAAATTATATTCGACCTGGTATATACAAAAATTCACCTATGAGGTATTTTACCATATTTTTCAGCGAGTATTATCGCTTATTATTTAAAAAATACATGTAAAAAGCTAATATTTTGAGAATATTATATTGAATTTATAAAAATTATAAAACTGTTATTTATAAAAATGGATATTTTGAGCATATACTATATTTTATATTGCATTTATAAAAATAAAACTAATATTCATAAAAATGGTAATAATATTTGTCATATACTATATTTTATATTACATTTAAAAAAAATAAAACTAATATTTAATTTATAAAAATGGAAAATATTTTGAGAATATAATATATTGTATTTAATTTACTATTTAATTTATAAAATAAAAATAAATCGCTATTTAAAAAAATGCATGTATAATAAATAGTATTTTGAAAATATAATCTAATTGCACAATATTAATATAATTTATTTTATAATATAAATTTTTAACAAAAGAAGATAATTGTATTATATAATATTGTAAAAAAAAATAATGAAAAATGTTGGATTAAAAACTTTCATGACTCAAGGTAAATATAATAAATGCAATAAATATTTGACAGTTTGCAAAGTAAAAAACCAGCATGATTGACGAAACCCTATACTCAAGAAAGATATTAAAAATTCACAAATTATCATGAAGAAAGAGAAGCATATCTACCTTTTCAGGTTGAAGATTACTTCTTCTTTCTTCAAGAATTCTCCCAGTAGTGAAAAAATTCCGCTCACAGCTTGCACTTAAGCAGGAATTGCCAATTTTGCTAAAATTGGAAATTCGCTTTGATGAGCCGCCCACCACTCTAACAAATTATCCACCTTAAATGTTTTATCTATTATTTATGTAATTATAATATTCATCATCGGGTATTGACATATTACCAGAATTACCATCGCCCCATTTGTCATAAAACGATTCAGTTTGTTTAACAACAGTCGTAATTTGACTGGTCGATGGTATTTCATTTACTTCCTGAGCCTCTTGTAATTTAATATAATCTTTTATATAGTTTTCCGTCATTTTGCGATCTGTCCCTGACTACATACGTAATTGCTTGAATTTGGGACAGAGAAAAAGAGAAATAAAATGATACTTATGTAAAACAAATTTTTCAATTAAAAAATGCTTTATATTAAGTAAAATCAATTTTATTTCTCCCTTTCGCTTTGAAAGGTATTACAAACTTTAAGAAGTGATATTCCTTTATTTGATTGTTTTGGTAAAATATATTCTAAAAATTTAGATATGAATTATAAAAAAATATATTAATAATACTTGAATATTGGGGCTTATTTAAGATATTCCTTTATTTGATTGTTTTGGTAAAATATGTTGTAAAAATTTAGATATGAATTATAAAAAAAAATATATTAATACTTTAAATAAATTTGCAGGAAATTAATAATTAGATCGATCTGTGGGTTGTTAGGTAGTGTTAACCATCACCCAATATTATATTAATCATAACTATAATATAATATAATCTTATAACCATTAACTCAAAATGTAAAAATTTTTAAAAAAAATTATAAGGCCCGGCCCGGGTTTAACAATCTTAGGCCCGGCCTGGCCGGGTTTAACAATCTTAGGCCCGGCCTGGCCCGGATATATTTAAAAAAAATTTTTTAGGCCCGGCCCGGATATGTTTAAAAAAAATTTTTAGGCCCGGCCCGGATATGTTTAAAAAAAATTTTTTAGGCCCGGCCCGGGTATATTTAAAAAATTTAAAATACGGCCCGGCCCGCCAGGCCTGCAGGTCTCTGTGAAATACCAAAATTTCCAATTTATCAGAGGTTAGCCTGCGGCGATGGTAACTGTCAATATCACCAGCTTCACTAAAAACAGATTCTGATCATCGCACACTTTTTTAAACAGAATGCGCAAAAAAATAACAATATGGCAGAATCTTTACTAATTAATTATTATTATAAAAATTATACATAAAAATGGATTTCGATTTTATTTATAAAATAAATGATTTTATATATAACTTTTTTAAAAAATTTTATTTTTGTTAAAGGCGCCATTTTATATCGGATCAGGAAATTTCATAATAATGGCCGATAACCGATATTTTAAAATAGGTGAAATATCGGCCTCCGATCCGATAAAAAATATCACATCCCTAATAAATAACATCCCTTTATTTAACTATGAATTTATTTTAATGATAATATACAATGAAATAAATTTCAAAAATGTAGAAATTTTATATAATTTATTATATTAAAAATTTAACGTAAATAACTATATTTTTAAAAATATAGTTACAATAAATATAAATAATTCTTGTACGGTGTTAAAAAAATAATTTAACAATTATAATTAATACAAATGATATCGAAATATAAAAAATATGGTTACATATCATGTCAATACCGCTAAAATTTTAGCGCGAAATATATCATAGCAAATGCATTATCGCGAATAAAATATCGCAAATGCATTACCTTGAATGCATTATAGTGAATATAATGTAGCGAAAATATTATAGCGAATGTAATACCGCGAAAGTGTTATAGCAAATGTATTATAGCTAATACATTACATCGAATTTATTATCGCGAATACATTATTGCGAATGTGTTACTGCGAATGCATTATCGCGGATACATTGCAGCAAAAGTTTTACCGCGAAAGAATTATCGCGAATGCATTATCACTAAAATATTAAAGCGAATTTATTATAGCTAATGTATTAGCGCAAATGTATGATCGCGAATGCATAATAGCGAATGCATTATCGCTAATGCATAATCATGAATGCATTATCTTAAATGACATCAGTTGTAATATCGGGGATGTAGTTTGATGAAAATTACAATTTTATATTTATCGGTCTTTAGACAGACTTAGTTGAACCTGGAAATTAAGTTAAAGTTAGACTTGGGTTTAAAAACATTTTTTTTGAACACGGCAATGTATTCGCGATAATATATTTCGCGGTATTGACGTGATACGAAAAAATATATAAATATTATGACTAAGAATTCATTATAAATAAGTTTTGCTTATAAAAATTTTATGAAGAACATATTATAATCATATTGCAATTTTATGATTGATTTGGCTATTTCATCTAGAATAATCACCTTATAAATATTTAAAATGGCTGATCCATTTTCAGCCGTCTATTTCTTAAATAAGTTTTTAGCCTTTTCAAAGTTGAAAAAGACATTAGTACAGGTACTAAATCGGTAAGGTAGCTAAAATAAAAAGCAATGTTTTGATATCAAGCAGGGAATCTAAAGTGCTATTACATATAAGAAAGGTTTGCAAATCATTTTTTTTTGGTCTTAAAGAGTACTCCTGTCAAGACTTTTATACCAAAATTCG